CCTTAAGAGAAAAAAAAAAAAAAAAAAAAAAAAAAAAAACCCAAACCAAAAAACCTTCCACCAAAACAAAAATCCCAAGCAAACAGGACTGAATATTATCAGTGGTACCTCGAGAGTCTGACAGGAACTAGAATGAAGAACTGAGCCTGGCATTCTCTCATTCCTTGCCCTTCCTTTGTTGCCTGCTGTCACCTGTGCAGCGCGAGTTGCCGCGCTTCATGCACATCGGCGGCTGCCTGGCGCTGGCAGGGAAGGCAGGGAACGCGTTATCCTGCCGAGCTGCCAGGCAGCCTCGGCGGGGCCGGCACCGACGGAGCAACTCCCGAGGCCGCAGGGAGCAGCCGAAATTCCCGACACGGAGGCGGGGCGTGTGTGTTATGTGCGTGTGTGTCTGGGTGCTATGTGTGTGTACACTGCCATGCCGCCCTCGGCACCCGCGCCCCGCTCGCCCGTGCCGCCTCACTCACTCCCTTCCCCGCACGTTCCCGGCCCTGCCTCCCGCGGCAACCTCCCGCAGGCGGCGGGCCCCTCACGCCGGGCGGCGGGGCAGGGGCCAGGCTCTGCGGGCCAGGCGGTGACAGCGGCGGCCATGGCCCCCGCCGCGGCGCTGACGGGCTGACAGCGCGGCCGGACGGAGCAGGGCGGGAGGCGCGGTGTCCGCTGCCCGGGGGGACACGGCGGCAGCGCTGACACCGCCGAGGCGGGCACCGGGTGGGCGCTCCCCGGGCTCAGGGACAAGGGGGCGGCACCCCGCGGGCACCGGGTGGGGCCGGGGGTTCCCGCCGCGCGCTGGGAAGGTGCGCTCCAGTCCTTACCTTCTCCCGGGAGCACGGCAGCGGGACGCGTCCTCCTCCTCCTCCTGCTGCTGCTGCTGTCTGTGGACGGCGCGGCCGCGGGGAATCGGGCAGGGCAGCGAGTGCCGCCCGCAGTGCTCAGGGGCTGAGGCTCAGCCGCGGCTCCGGGGATTGCAAACACCCCGCCCGCCCGCCCTTTTTTCTTTCTTTCTTTCCTTCTTTCTTTTTTCCTTCCTTCCTTCCTTCCTTTCTTTCCTTCACCTTCCTTCCTCCCTTCCTTCTCTCCCCGTCTCTCTCTTCTTCCCTCTCTCCCTCCCTCCTTTCCTCACACCCCGCGCCGCCGCTCGGCTCCCCCCGCCCCCCTCCCAGCGGCGCTCCCATTGGCCGCGCGCCGCCCACGTGGGCCTCGCGCAGGGCACGGGACGCGGGCGAGCGGTGCCGCTGCCAACGACAGAGCGCTCGGGGCGAGGTGGGCAGCGCACCGCTTCTCGCCATTCCCAGTGCCGTCCCCATCCCGAAGGAGACGGGCGCGAACGCCCGCAGGGCGACGGGAAATAACGGGTTCGCGGGATGCCACACACGGACGGGGCTGGGACGAGGACTAGGGCGCGAGCAATGCGCATGCGCGTCGGGGGGGTTGCGGGGGGCAGCCGCGCATCCTCTTGGGCTGCGGCCGCTGGAACCTTCTGGAAATGGCGGCGGCGGCGGCTCTGGCTGGTCACGGCGAGGTGGCGGACGAGAGCTTTTCCGGTCCGTGCCGCGGGACGGGAGCCGACCTACAGCCACCAGCGCGCCCCGCTTCGCCTCGCCCTGTCCTGCCGCTGCCGCCCCCTCCCCGGGGAGGGGTTTTTCCGGCGGTGATGGCGCAGTGAGTTTTGACTATCGGGCGCTGTGCGCGTGCGCGGCGGGCGCTGCCCCTCCCGTTCCATCCTGTGTTGTCTCCCGTCACCGGGCGCTAGCGGGTACGGAGGGACTGCGGCTAAAGGCCCCGCAGTTTTTGGGAGAAGCCCCCGGACGCAGGTGCGTGTGGCGCGGTGCCGGAAAGCCCGGGGTGGCCGTTCGCTTTCGCCAAAGGCTGTGGGATGCAGATCCCGCCGCGCCTGGGGGTCTGGTCAGTGCTGCGTCCCCCACCCCCCACTCAGGCACAATTCCCATCCTCCCGCCTCTGCAGGACAAGACAACTTCTAGGTTTCCAAACTGTTTTTTTGGGCGTGTTCTGCTTGTACAAATGAGCCAGACGACATATAAAGACATGTAAGGGGTTACGGAGTTGACTGACGATGTAGCCGTAGTTGTAGCCTTGGAAGGGGGTCATTCATCTGCACTCGTGAAAGGTTTTGCATCTGCTTGTGACAACAGTAGTATGTGGCAGGACTTAAGGAGCACGTCTGGAGCTCTACTCGTGGGTTCTCGAGGGGTGCTCTCCAGATCGCTTCTGGGAGGTGCTGGAGGGCTGCCGGGTGTATTTTGACAAGGCAGCTAAACAAAGGCCTTTAGCATAGTTTTAATTGCTGTGGTCACTGCTATTGGATTGCTTTAATCTATTACTGGGTAGAAATTCTTTAATACTTCTTATTCATCAGAAAAGTGGGTTTTTTTCAGTATGAAACGATAACTTTGATTGCGGACACCTATTGTGTGGACTTGCCATTTATTCTGATCCTCCCCATGATGTACCAGCATGAATAGAGGAGAGCATCAAAAATCTCTCATATTCCCATGTTCCACGTTTTACTGTTCAGACAAACTTCTCTCATTTGCTTTCACAATCTTCCTGTACAAATGCTGGTACAGATAATTTGTGTTGTAAAGCAACTGCCTTCACTTTAATTTGATTATTTGGTTAGTGTACAGTGCGTACTGTCTGGTGGCCAGGAACAGCTCTCAGCTGAGTGACCATGTCACAAAGGGAGTTGCCTTTGTATTCTTTTGTGTTTGGTTGATGGCAGCAGTTATCTCTAGAAGTGGAAAACTCATTGAGTAGCAGACAGCCTGTGGAATGTCTGCATAAATGGAGCAAGAGCAGTTTGCAAAGGCAGAGGTTTTTTTTTTTCCATAGTATTATACATGGATCCACACTGTAAAATATGACAGGCTACAGGTGTGGCCTGCTTTGTGGTGCTGCATTTTGTTCCTTGTGCATGAGTAGTGTGGAGTTCCAGTTTGGTGTGTGTTAGGTATTCATAACCAGCACTGAGGTAATGGGAAAGGATTCTCATGAGCAAGCAGATGTTATGATCTGATAATAATATCTGTCAGTAACTGGAAAATATACTGTTCCTTAAGCTGTTTGTAAAACTACTGTTTGGACTAATGAAAAGCATCAGTCAGTTGACCACTAGTTGCTGCCCCTACATTTGTTTCTTGCCCTTGTTTGCAGCAGCCCCTCCCTGTTACATCTAGCACAGCTGCAAGATGCTTTTGTAGCTGCATGGTGTTGGTGTGCGTAGGACTTCCCTTGATCTGCCCTCCCGTCCTGTGTCACCAGCCCTGTGAACTGCTGGTCTTAGGACAAACAGGTCCAGCATCTGGTGGAACTGTGTCATTCAGTCTAGTAACTGAAGGACTGAAAATTTCAGACTGCAGTACCAAAATCTGCCATAAGAACTCACAGGATGCCACACAGGTGAGAGCATGTGCACCAGCCTCTAGGAGGTAACTGGCAGGTCAGCCCGTGGGGCCAGCAGACATCCTGCACAGGTGGAATGGGATTGCACTGCTTCTCCCTATTTAATGACAGAACACTTTTCCAGATAACATTTTTCTGGCAGTGTGTGGTGCCATTACTCCACACTTCCTTCTGTCTTCACCAAAGGAAAGAATCATCATCTCCCACTCTTGTAGTCCAATGGATTCTTTTGGTGTCTTGTGCTTCTATGTCTTAAATCACATTTCCTTTCTCAAGACTACCTGTTTTAAAATCTTCTCAAGGCAGTCTTTTTTTTTCCTTCCCCACTTTCTTTTACTTCTGTATCTTCCACTTTTAGAGATTTAATATAGTATGTGACTTCTTTACTTTTTGCCTCATTCAGGAGAGGCAAACAAGACCACTGAAAACACAGAATCAGTTCTTTTGGTGCTGCAGTAACAGTTTCAGGAATGTGTGGACTGATGCAGTAGTTGACTCATATTTTGCTTAACTCACCGCCCAGTACTCTTGTAGTCCAGGATATTAACTTGATTGAAACAGTAGAATTGCAATTGTCTTTTATCTGACAGGTTAGTGCTACTGCCTAGAATTAATATTAGTGACCCTCTGCTATTGAGGAAAATGACAATTCTGTCCTGTTAATAGTTGTTACCAAAAATGCCCTACTGCAAATGTATATACTAAAATATACATTTTTAATACTAGTAAAAGCAAGCACAAGGTATTATCTACATCTATTGAAAAACAAAACAGAGAACTGGGATGCATCAATTCTTGCACTATCCTGAAACTCTTTCATAATGATCACCTTGCTAATTCTCATCACAATCCTGCATAAGTTACCATTCTGAAAATAATTTATTGTATATAGTAAACAGCTACATCTAACAAATAATGCAAAATATGTATTTCTACTTGAGATGTTTGAAATGTTCAAATTTCATCAAAACCTGAAATAACGCAAGGTGTGATTTAATTTTTTTTAACCATTTAATACGATTGCCCATACTTTTTTGAGGAGAAACCAGGACTATAAAGCCTCATATTAATTGATTAATGAATGAAGAGGGTAAGATGGGAGAGAAAAGTAATAGTTATTTTCTTACTTGTCTACAATCATTTGACAGTCCTGTAGCTGCCCTCCAGTACTCAATTTAAAGAGTGATGTATCAGATTTGTGCCGTGCAGTAGGGATAATGTAAATTATCCTATTCTAGTCAAGTGATTGGCAGATTCTCACATGTTGCATCAAAATGACTGACAGCTTGTTTGTGGAACATCACTAACAATCTCCAAAATATGGGAACTGTGGAGGTCCATGTTCTGCTCCTGAGACAAACATCAAAATTGTCACGTGCAGATGGAATAAACTGGGGAGAAAAGTGGGATAAGGCTACAAATTCTGTGTGGCTTTAAAAATGAGTGGAGTCTGGCATTCTGGAGCTTTGTTTTTGTATAGTTGGATGTTTCAACCTCGGCAGGTCCAAAACTATGTTTCCCTTCAACACAATTATGCAATCCCATGGGATTTCACTGTTACATACAAAACCATAAATAACTGTAGCACAGTACAGTTCCACAATGCAGGCAACATCCTCACTTGTATTCAACATATACTTCAAAGGTTAGAATAAGGTAAGGTTGTATGAACTAGAATACAGCTTTGCTGTTAAAATGGAACAAAGCATAGTCAGACTGGAATACTAAAATGAATCTGTCTTTGCATCAAGATGTGAGATGCTGTCTGCCTCATGTCTCTAGAGAAGTGCCACAAAATGCCAGATGCCTGGCCTGCTACAAGGCCTGAGGCTATTACAAACATGGAGTGACCTTTCAGAAGAGCATTCAGAGACTTGAAATGACAGATAAGATTTCAATCCGTGTACTATTTCCTCCTGTGTGTTATGTTCTGTACTACTTCTACACAAGATTTTTCTTATGCTTGTTTGGAAACTGCTTCACTCATGAGTTGTATGTATTTATTGAATTTTCTTTTCCATTTGTATGCAATTCTATTATTTCATTTTATAAATATATTAATATGGAAGAGATAGCAAATTTCTCATACAAATTATTTACAGATACATTATCTTCCCAGAACTACCAACAGCAATACTGCTTTTTTAATGGTGTGTGAAGGAACTTCACAGAGCATGTTGAAATAAAGGTGGTGCATGAATAGACTTCATGAGATAGCCATTTTGCAGGTAATATTAAAAACACAATTTAACTCCAAAGAGGGAGAATAGTTTGGTGAAGTACTATTAATCAGATTATCAAAACAAAGTAAACATAATACAGAATAAAATTATAAATGATAGAGTTAAGCTTCATCTATCTTGTCAGTTGTAATACAAATGTAAGTTCCATGGCAGATTTGAGAAGAGACAGACACAGTATGGTCTCAAGATGACCGATATGTCCACATTTCCTAATTTGCATGGAAATGTATGTTGGTATAGCTAAAGCATTTGCCCAGTTTTACAAGTACAGGTATGCAGTCAAGTTTTAAAAAAATTATCTTCATCGTTTTTATATTCAAAGAAATTCCTCAATTTCACACAGATTAGTTCTTGAAAGTAGCTGGTGCACAGTAATAAGGTCAAAGAAGGATCTGTGAATCAAAGATCCAGTGTCAGATATTACTACCCTTAAGCACATGTTGAACTGTTCTGATCTATTCTGTCTTCCCCCAATTCCATGCCTTGTCTGTATTAAATAAACTTACAAAGGAAGTTAGTTGGTTTTGGTTGCTATTAATTCTTTTAGTAGAGTACTACTGGTCTTTGGGACTTTACATTTTTCCTGATTACAGAATGATACTAAGAAGAATTAAGCTTTTAAGAAGAACCACTTCTAACTGAAGCTACGCGATTTTATGTACAACACGGCTCAGATAACCTTTCTTGTTTGTGTGTGTTTGTTTGATTATAAATTGCCAATAAAAGTAACATGATGAAGTTTTGTCAGATAATCTCCTTTCAGTTTCGTTCCTTGTCTATTTGCTTGATTTGTAATTTAGGTTTGTTGCTTCTGCAATAAACATTGAAAGAATTTTCAAGGACAGATCAAAAGATGCAACTTTTCATCTCTCATTGACTGTAAGTGGACACTTTCAGGGAGACACTTTATACAGTCTATAGAATCACTTTTCTTACAGTCTGGAATTATGATTAGACTGTAGTCAAAGCACAGTAAGTTAGATAGTCTAACTGCTGGGGTTTTATAAAAAACCAAAACATTAGAATGTACATAACTTTACTGAGATTGAAGATACTTTATTCTTTTCAGACAGTTCATCTTATATTACAAAAATCTTTAGAGGTCATCTCGAACTCCAAAACCTGGTCCTTTGGGTGGTTCAGTCAGGGAAGTAAGGCCACCAGCTGGCTCACAAGAAAAACGTCCACTCCTGAAAAATGAAAGGAGTTTATTCATTGCTAGTATTGACAACAACTCAGATTCTGTTTAATTATTGGATAGAAGACAGTCACAAATCTGACTTAAGGATGAAGCCACTATTTTTTGTTTTGTTCTTCCCATTCAACCTTCAGAAAAAGTGTGATGTAGCTGTTAAAGTGAAAGGATTCCAAATCCAAGTAGTGACAAAAAAAAAATTCATAACTGAAATGCAAGCTAGGACCACTTGTTTTCTTTTATATTCACGTATAGGTTGGCCAGGCACCATCAAATTTTATCAATCACAGTTTTTTTATAGGTGCTTCCCTGTGTTTTTTTGAAACTGTAACTGTTGTAAGATTACTGTTCTTGTATTCAAAACATCTTTATAGAAACAATAGGAATAGGTAACACCCATGTCAAATTAATTTCCCCACTGACACAAACTTGGTGGGCTAACAAAGAACAGCAGGAAATAACAGAAAAGTTCAGCAGTAACATCCCTCTCACCAACTTACAATCTTTGGGTTTTATCAGAAATCAGAAAAAACCCAACAAACCAGCCAACCAACAGGAATTTGTTGGTTTAAAAGATCTAGACAAAAATTCCAACAGGTGACATCATTCACCTACTAAGTACCTATTAATTACTAAGACAAATCAGAATTCATGTTTTCACATTCCATCTTCCTCTGGTCAGTCATCAAGAACATGCAAATTCTCAGTTCTTTCCAGTTTGTTTTGGCTTTGAATGCATGCACTTCTGTTCAGTAAATTAAGGAATGCTTTTTAGCTGTAGGCTGTGAACTCAAATCGCTGGAAAAGTAATTTAGTTTCTCAGAAGAATCACCCTTCGTGTAGGTGACCAATACAATAATTTATAAATACAGGCAATTATATATTATAGCTTATTATAAAGATAGCATACCTTGGGCCTGGTTTGGGAACTTTGCCAGCCTTTAGCTCATCAATTATGTCTTCAATATCTTTGGGTGTCAAATCTTCCTGTAAAACAAAAAATTAAATAATTGACAAAACTGAGTCATCAGTTACTCAAAATGCAACACTTCAAATTTATCAGATCAGCGTGACTCTAGCACAGGTAATTTTGATCCTATCCATTAACATACATAGTAGCTTAAAGAATGAGGAAAACTGAAAAGTTTACTGTCATTTTAATGTTGAGACTTTATTTCATGTGTAGTTGCAGAAATTTGCTAAAACAAACAATGTTGATGCAAGCCAAGGGTTTGTGTTTTCAGCTTCCTGATATTAGGGAGCTGATCTCTGCCTACCCACTACACATATGCCATGACACATAACATGTCATGCAGAATGGTGTTGTCTGCAACAAAAAAAAATTTGGGTACAGTTCAAGACAACACTTACTGAATTAGTCCATACTTTCTAACAGACTGCTTTAAAATGCTTTCAAAAGCTTATCAAATACCTATTTAAAAATTCCAGATTTACAGGCAGACCACAATCAGAAAAATGCATCCTCAGACAGTGACTGGAATGAAAAATACACTGATACAAATGAACTGTTCTAGCAAGAGGCCAAGAAACTAAAAGATGCTGTAGGAAATGAGTTCTTCCTGTCAATAGGAATTGGAAAACTGACCACAACTTCACAGTCTGGAACAACTGGAAAATACAGGTAAGCCAGCAAAGAAGTTAAATATTTTAAAAGGGAATGCAGTACTTACATAGTAATTGTCATTGATTTGTACCATTGGTGCATTTACACAAGCACCTAAACATTCCACTTCTATCAGCGTGAAGAGTTTATCAGGTGTTGTTTCCCCAACTTTAATACCTAAACCAATAAATTAATTAGGCTCACCAATGGTTATGAACAAGAATAATAAAGCATGAATCATTGCATTACTTGTAGTTGGGCCTTAAAAGCATCTGCAAAGTTAAACCCCCTTAAATGAGTCCAAAATTATTCCATTAAACAGAAGTTTCTAATAAACCATTAAGTCAATTTTCAGCTACATTTTTGAGACCTTGTTTACAGGTATGAATCATTGAAAAATAACCATGAAATGACAATTCTAAGAAACACAACAGATCTACTCAAGAACATTTTTAGTAATCAGTACAATAAAATGGAAAAATAGGGACACACAGCTTTTATGTGCTGATAGGAAATGCAGTAATATACAGTGTTGAATATTCCCAAATTAACCAACATCCAAACATTGTTAGCTACAAACTGATAAACAACTTGCAAGTTTTTACACAAAAGATGATTTACTGAGCTGTATACATACTTAGCATCCATGGCATGTTACTGTTCTACTGCTAGAGATACAGACCTTCCCCAGAGGTGAGTTAGTCCAAGTAACATCTCAAGAGTCTAATTTCTACAAAATACTCCATGGAAGGAAGAATACTGAAAAGCTGTTTTCCTCCATTTACTAGTAGGAAGGAGTTGGAAATAATGGAAGTTGTAAGTTAGGCCTGTCTCAGTAGAAACCACAGAATCATTCTTACTGCTTTGATTTCTCAAGCTGAGAGTTTCAGTAGAAATGAAGCTATCTATGCAGTAACAAGACATTTCATCTAAATATGCTTTTTTCAGACAAAAGAGTATATGAAATAACAGATAATTGGCAGCTGTTCTGCAGCTCTTATCACCCGTTCTTAGAAAAAGTTAACACAGCTTTTCGTAGAAGGGGAAGAGTTGTCAGTTGCTGATCTTACCCTCTCTTCTCCCTATAACCACCCAAAAAAGGAGGAAAAAACCCCAACCTACAAACAAAACCCCTGAGTACTCCTTGCATCCCATGATGCACCATTCTCAATTGACTTTTCCCATGGAAAATTCAAAAATTATGTTAACATCACGTTATCATCCAGAGGGACCTTGAAAAGACAAAGAGGTGGGTCCGTGTGAACCTTATGAAGCTGAACAAGGCCAATTTTCCACTATATGAATAATTTTACTTCAGGATCATTAAACAAAGGTAAAAAAAAATATAAGAAGTAAATTAGAAATTTGCGTCATACCAAGTTTCTTCTTAATGGCTTCTAAAATGCTGTCAGAGTCTCGCAGCATGCATGGCGTGGTGGTGCAGACCTGGATGTGGTATTTCCCAACAGGTTTGCGATTGTACATGGTGTAGAAGGTTGCTACTTCATAGACTCTCATGGGAGGCATGTCTAAAACTTCAGCAACCTGTGACAGGAAAAACCACACTATATTGAATTCTCAGAGGGCAGCAGTAAAGGCATTTAGCAAACCATTTCAGTGAAGGCACCTGTCCTGTCAGCAGTAACAGGTAAGGAGGAGGGTGGGGGTGGGTATCAAAGTACAAATGTATTCCAAGTGCCAAGACTGGACACCCGAGTTCTCTGACTGGCATCACCCTGCTTGAGCACAAACTTCGCTAAGCCGTGCATCTGCACAGCAAGGAGCTGAGTCAGCTCCCCTCCAGCATCTCTTGTCAGACACAAGGGGATGTGAGGAGTCAGCTGGGTTTGGGCTTTCCTTGTCAGCTCCAGCTCACACTGCACTTGGGCTGTGCCAGTGAACCAACCTGTACAAGCCTCCTCACACTAATCCATGGAAGCCTTTTAGTAAGGAATACTTGTAGGCTGGTACTGTGCTTATCTAATTCACACAGAGCAGGTCTCCCTCGGGTTCTGTGACACACCAGGGCTACATCTGCAGATTCCTGTCTCAGCTAATAAGTAGGGAGTGGAGTATGATCTCCATGGAGCCAGTTCTAGTGCAAGTATCCCTGATCTCATTAACATGGAACCCTGGCAAACTGCTCAAGTTGAGAACTGGCTCTGGTTTCAATAGTGTAACTGTTTTATGTTCCAGTTTCTCTAGCAGGCAAATAACAAATCATGGAAAATACTTGTTCACTTAAAAGCCTTAAGATCGTTTTAAACATAGTATCAATCTCAAACTTAAAAAAACTAATATACACTGCCAGCATTAATGGAGCTTTGAGGCTTTATGTTATGCTGTAGAAACTGTAGCAGACATAAATTGCCTTTCTTTAAATGCTCATTCACCTCCTTCAATCATTCCTCTAATGCTCACAATCTTCACCTTAAATTGAATTTAAAACTTTACACTTTAAAATTGATGGTATGCCAGATGGTAACACATAGTACAACAGATTTATTCATATGAATATAAACCAGATTTTTTTATTTCTTGGTATTTGGTTACTGTCATGCAGCCTCTCACTTTGGAGCAGCGTAGTTATTTGTCTGGCCTGGTTATTTTGAAACAATGATTAACCTGACAAGTCTTCCGGGCACTTGCTGTGAGGTTACTCAACACTCCTGACATCTACTACACTAACACTGCTCTGCAGAGTCCTTACAGATCTAGAGATTAAGTATAATCCAGGCAATGTGTGAAATGCCATTTATCTGGGAGCAAGAAAACTCCACTGACATTACCTTTTTTTTCCTTCCCCCACATTCAGCAGTGAACAAAATCAAGTCTCTGTTCCTAATTCTAAGACCACTCTGGGAGAAGAGCCTATCTGAATAGGTTTTACCTCATTTTTTATTTGTTCTGCCTGTAGTTTTTAGCAATGGGCTAATATTATATAAACAGAGCCCTGAGTTTTTCTGCGTTAGTTTTCCCTTGTAATTTTAAAAATGTAGTCTCATAGGGAATTCTCACAATTCTGCACCACATATAAATTCCCATGTTAGTAAGCTTTCATTAATTAATATTAATATTCTAGTAAGATATTGAAAGAAAACA